TTTAGTAGTAGCGTTGTAAATTACTGCGAAGGCGCGAGTGCTCCGCTGTCGCCGGGCGTCGGGCGCCACAGCGGCTCTTCGTAAGTGAGGGACAGCGGGGCGCGGCGCCTGGGACAACGGCGCATTCCACGGCGAGGGCGGAGGGCACGGCGCCTTGGCCCTCGGGCCAATTGGCCCAGCTGCCGGCGGGCGGTCGCCGCGCCGCGCCGCGCCGTGCCGTTCCTCAGCCCAGCTCGGCCAAGCTCACTCTCCATCCCCCCGCTTGCACCCCTTACGCTACGGAGTGCCTTTTTCTGACTTCCTCTTCGCCACCCGATCTCTTCATCACTGTTCAGACAAGTCTGTTGTAAGGATACTATGCTTCCGAAACATCGATGTATCGACACCGATGTTTTATCAACATCAATGTTTTCTAATTCATGTTTACGTTTCTAATGTTTTGTTCGTGGATGAAAATTCCTCTAATTACAATTTAAAGAAAAAAAATGAAATACTAATTGATCGTACCACTGTCAGTTTGTGTTTACACCAAACGAACGCGGTTGGTTCTACCTTCATCGAGCAGACGAGATGACCCTGAGGACCTGATACTTCCTTCATTTGACCTCGTATTTTGGACACGGAGAGACGATTCGGATTTTTCAAGTTTTTCAATTAAATTTTAATTATAAATTAATATATACGCAAACTACAAATTAAATTTAGTAGCGCACGAATTTAATGTTGGAAGTTTCTCAAAGAGCTCCAAAATATAAATGTTTAAAATCATCGATGTGTTATAAACATATATTTTATAATTTTGAACATCGATGCTTCGTTATCGATGTCGCATCATTAGTCTCTCATCTAACTGGCATCGTTGCAATCACCATTTTTATATACTTTATTTCAATTTCACAAAATAATTTTACTGAAAGAAGCACATTATTCAGAAGCTACCAATCACTACCTTATATTGGAAAGCGGCCCAAGTGGACACACTGACAGTTAGTAGGGAGGCGGTGGTAAAAATAAAGAGCTCTTTTTGAGGGGGGAGGGACACACCCTCTTGATTGATGCATTACCGATGTATAGTTCAGCGATATTGATTTTAATTTCAGGAATGGAATAGTCAATGGACAGGACGTCGGTACTCTCAAACTATCTGCTGGATCACGATACGAGGCAATGCTCACACCCCAGTCCACTGCTCCTCATTCCCCCGTTACAACATTTTTCTCAGCTCCTTTTTCTCTGCCCTGTATTCGTTTCACAGCTCCCAAATCTGCTTTTTTCCCTACCTGCGTCCGCGATAAGACACTGTGCTAGAGCTCATGGCTACCCAATGAGACAAGCTGCGGTGCTACTGATATATCATTATCTAAATCAAATAGGATCATGTGGGCAAACAGAGGTGCTAAGGTCAAATATTTTACGGCAGGGGTGTCCACACTGCAGCTTGCAAGGCGCAATCAGCCCCTGCGGAAGTGTCATTTCGCACTACTTCCAGATCGCAGCCTTCTATAGAGGGGTGAACAATCTTCAGGAAGGGGCATGCTGGAGTGTTGCAGGTTGAAATCGCTGCGGGGCGGATTCGGTGAAAAGATAGTTGGTTCGTAGTATACATCTTTTAAAAAAAAGCTTTTAGAATTCTCCATTATGGTAAGCAAATTACGATAAATAAACGCGAAAGCGCATGTACAAGAGAACGACTTAAACCATTCAGAAGAATTATTTATAACTTTTTAAACAAATCTTAATTATCACCGTTTACCTCATTTTGCCCTCGGAAATACTGAAAGCTACTTTTATTTATTTTAATACAATTAAATATAGGAAACTCACATATTATACAACATTTATTTTACAAGCTAATAAACGATTTTAATAGCGCACTTAACGAACTGAACTGGTATTTGATAATAAAGAGGAACATATCTGTTTTGAAAGTGCGACATTCAATTATTTAAAAATATATTACCCATCACCTCTATCGATAATGATTCAAGTATTTTTGTCATACAGCGTGTAATTACCTCCGGCACATTAGCCACGCTCATGTTTTTTTTTACATAATTCCGATGTTATGCTCCCAGGCGATCGTGCACCGCGCCGCGCTGGCCCGTTGCAGGCGGCGGGGGCGGACGAACGGGCGTCGCTCATCCTGGGCGCCCCACGTGCTACCCCGGCGCAAACCGGAAGCGGCGCGGCTGTGCCGGGCGCGGGAAGGGAAGCCGAACCATTCACGCGCCCTCCGCGCCCCACGCCCACGCCCCGGCCCGGCCCGGCCCGCCCCGGCGCCGCGCCGCTCCCACACTGCGGGCGGGTCTCTTCGTCCGTCCGCCCGCCCGCCCGGGGTAAATAGAGCGTTGCGCAAGAGACGCGGCGAGGCGGGGAGGAGAGGCAGGGGGAGGGGAGGGGAGCCGCGCAGAGCCGTGACCGGAAGCCCGCGCTGCGCCGCGCCGCGACGGCCGCAGTGACGCGCCGACTGCCGTCGCAGCGGGCGCCGCAGTTGTCGCTGCGGGCGCCGCCGCCGACTTCGCTCTAGGCCACGCCCCCACCACGCAGCGCGCCCGTGCTCCTCGTCGTCGGGAGGTGAGTGATGAGCAACTACATAAGATTCTACTTGCGTAGACACAACACATACACATGCAGAGACAGACAATAAAGCCTTGGTTTGTTCCATCAAAAGAAAGACAACCGTACTTCATTTGATTGCGGCATTGAAAACACCACCTGACTCGCCGGTTGAAACAGTTAATGTCACTGCTTTGTCATCAACATTCAATTGTAGGATATATCAAGACTCGCAGATGCAACTCGATCGAAAGTGAAAACTAACGAGAACAACATTATCACAAACATTATTTTAGACTCAGAAAACGCTCCATTTAATGTCTCACAACCAATCGAAATCTTATTCTTCAAATATCACGCCTCAAAATATCACATCATGAAAACGTGTTTTTCTTCAAATGGTACGAGGGAGAACATGAAATATCAACTTCGCCAATATGTAATGATTAATCTGCAGAGGAAGATCCTGCTTTCCACAGACGTATTAACAGAGTTTAAAGTGTCATGTCTAGTTCCTGTGTTTGAATTGCTCTTTAATCCTTCCTTGCTTGTTATAACTTGCTTTCTTTTGGAATTTTAGCGCTCTAACCGCAGCATTTCTTGAAGTGTATGGCATTGTCATTTTCGAGATATTTGCGATGGCATTCAGAAAAGTAAAATGAAGCGCCGATATCACGGACAGCAGCTTTCCCACATATTGATATCATTCTCAAAAGTTTGACTTCAAAGAATGCGCGATTGTAATATTCACTGACCTTGTTTTTGATACTTGAGAAAAGCGACCCGAGCTTTGCATTTATATGAAATCGGCTATCTTGAAAGAAAACAGCCAAAGGCGCAAAGCATCGGGCATTTCAGGATAAAAGTATCCCTCGCTTTCTCCGCCAGCGATCCCTGCAGTTCTAAGAATACGAAGTGCACGGGCGGCGGGAGGGCGGAGGGCGGAAGCCTTTATATTTTCCAGGGAGCCGTTCAGCGTAAAAACGAACTGAGCGGCGTTCGCTGTTAACGGGGCCTGGCGGCGCCTTGCAGCGTGCGGTGGCAGTAGACGAGGGACGAACGCAGGCGAAAGACCCGTGGCGGAAGGCGGCGTGGCGTCTCGTGCTCATCCAGGAGGCTGCACAGGCGGTGCGCTGCACGCCCGCGCGCGCGCCCCTTGCAGTCAAAGGGGGCGCGAACGCCGTGAAAGCCGCTCTTGTCACGCGTGCGCACGCACGTTCCCGCCCCGCCCCGCCCTCCCGCCCCCGCCTCGACGCCCGCGTTTATTTTGGAGCCTCTTTTATGAGACGGCGGACGGATGGGTCGACGGGAAGTCAAGAGCGCCGCGCGGCGCGCTCGGCCCGCGCAGTTGCTGCTCGCTGCAGCCTGTTTGTTGCCTTGGCCCTCCCTCCCATGCAATGCTTGCTAGCGGTTAGTTGTCTTTTATTGCAATGATAGTATGTTATCTCACAGAGTGCGGTTCCGTATGTATGTTACCTATTGCCTGGATAGTTGATTTAAATCTATAAAATTGCTTTCTTAGTAAATGGTAACGAACTGGGAAAACTCATCCGCCATGC